CTTTTTTCTATTAACGGCTTCATTTCTGGCGAATCCGCTTTTTTCTTCCATGTAACTATGAAATAGAATGCAACCAATAGCAAGTCAATGATACCAATGGTTACAACACCATCCAAAACAAACTCAGTTCTTGAACCTTCTTTGCAGATGCTTAGAGCACCGCATGATAATGGCTGCACAGTACCTGTTGGGCAATAATGGTGCTCTGGGCAAACTAGTTTGGTATTTTCATTCGGACAATAATACCCGTGGTCGCAAACAGTTGGCTCTAGTGGTCCTTGAGGCTCACATTCTTTACCGGCAAGTCTGAGAATACTGCATTCAACACTTGGGGGACAAATTCTGGGAAATGAACCTGGATCGCTGGATGTTGTGTTTGGGCAATAAAATCCAGTTGGGCATGTAAGTGACAACTCTTTTGTAATTGGTTGCCCGTTGGTATTTGGTGCAGAATAACAAGCCCAAGTAGCGTTGAAAGGTAATCCAGATTGCTCTGGTACACCTGTCTGATTTACTGGAAGCGTCTGGTTCTGTAGTATTGTCGGAACACTGGCTGGGGCTGTCAACGTAGTTGGAGTTGCTGAACTCATTCGCTTGCGCAGGAGGGCATTTCTTTCTTTTTATTTTGGGATAATTACGGTCAAGCGGCCCGAATGCAAATTAGGTACATAGAGAATGCGAGGAGGCACATTTCCAGATCCGCTGTCAAACATCAATGCCGAGTGAGATCACAGTAAAACGGCGATAATTCAATTTTATACAGTAGAAATTCATTTGAGGGCTGTCAAAAAATTCTTTGATTACCACCAAAGAATAACGCACGCCAACAAAGAATTGCACTCTAGTAATCGTCAAGTTGGTGGCGATAGATCTTTAGTGTGTCTGGCCCGATCTCGGTTTATGGGCCGCACTTTAGTGTATTCGGCGTCAATTTAAAAAGAGAATTATATTACCGCAATCGATTGCCATTATTGGAAAAAGAACTGTGCACAATACTGGATATCAAATGAGAGCACCGGCAGCCAAATCAAAAAAAGTCGAAAAAACATTCTCCCGGCGGGGTTCGAACCCGCGATATTCGCATATCTTCAAATATAAGTACGACGCCTTAAACCACTTAGCCACGGGAGAACTGCTCTGTTTCAGATCCGTGAATCAATATAGATGGTCGAGTCCAAATAATCCTGTTTTGCGTTCAACCCACGTATCTCTCTTTGCCCTCTTGAATTATGAAAATACCGTTAAAAGGTTCAATTTTCATGCTTCAAATCGCTCTAGACTTTCAAAGCGTTGACTCACTTCTTACCCATGCAAAAAATCGTATCTCGTACACGATATTCAACCATCCCAATAGTAAATCAGTTCCCGTGGTCTTCATGGGAAACAAAAAAGAAACCTCGGCTATTAATCCTTGGCACTGGATGGGCAGCAACAACCATCTTGAAGAATTTAAAGAAGAATCAATTTGAAACGATAGTAATTTCACCTACCAACTATTTTCTGTTCACTCCACTATTACCAGGAGTAATTATCACTAATATAGGCAACTACCGTATCTGACTATTAAAATAGGGCACTGTTGAATATCGATCGTTGCTGGAAAGCACACGGAAAATATGTCGGCATTCTGGAGCTCATTATTATGCTGCATCTGGAGAGGATGTAGATTTTGATAAAAAGACAGTACTGGCAGTTGATACGGATAACAACAAGGTTGAAATTCCATATGACAAATTGGTAGTTGCTTTAGGTGCAAGAAATGAAACTTATGGGATACCTGGAGTCAAGGAAAACGTCTATTTTTGCAAGACTATAAGAGATGCTCGTAACATTCGCGATAGATTAACGACAATTTTTGAAAAAGCCAGCAACCCAATCGTCAGCGAGCAAGAAAGACAGCGATTACTTACCTTTGTCGTGGTTGGCGGTGGCCCTACGGGAGTGGTAGTTTATTGTTAAGAATAGGAATTTTCAGCTGGTTAATTGAATTAACACATAGAGCTCTACGATTACTTGAACAGAGATATGGTTTACTATTACCCAGATCTTGTTAAACGACATGTCAAAGTAATATTGATCCAAGGGTCTGCTCACATTTTAAACACTTTTGATGAAAAGATTTCTGAATACACCGAGGAAAGATTCAAGAGACAAAACATCAAAGTCATTACTCAGGCATTTGTCCAGTCTGTTGACAAGACCTCAATTACGTATAAGGTAAAGAAGACAGATGGATCTCTGGAAACAAATGTTACAGACTATGGATTGTGTGTTTGGAGCACAGGTATCGCCATGCACGAAACCACTCAAAAGCTCTCTGATAAACTCACAGACCAAACCCACAAACGTGCGTTAAATGTCGATTCAGGATTACGTTTGATTGGCGCAAAGGATGCGTACGCATTAGGCGATTGTGCAACTATTGTCCTGCCAAATATTGGTGATCTGATTCTATCACAATGCAACGAAGACATGTCTGTTGATAAATTAAACTCCATTATCAACCAGGTTACAGAAAAACACCCGCAGTCCCATTCATTCTTGGAAGGATTAAAGCAGTATATTGGTGATGCACCAGTTAAATTACAAGAATTAAAAACGTGGTTTGAAAAGACTGCAGCAAAGACCACCACGTTACCAGCAACAGCTCAAGTCGCATCACAGCAAGGAAAGTATTTGGCAAACAAACTCAACAAGATCGGCAAGTACGATTCCCGAGATTGGGATATCGTGGAAGAAAGGTTCAGGAATTTCAAGTATCAGCATTTAGGAAATTTTTCGTACGTTGGAGGAGGTACTAATAATTAATATAAGAAGCGGCTGTTTTGGATTTGGGTAAAGGCAAAGGATTTGGCGGTTTCAGCGCATTCTTTTTATGGAGAAGTGCTTATCTTTCCCGCCAAGTTTCTCTTAGAACCAGAGTACTGTTGGCTTGGGACTGGACAAAGACTTTTGTCTTTGGAAGAGATATTTCAAAAATTTAAAACCTAAATACATACAATTACGTGCTACCTTTTGGTAACTTGATACCAGGTGGGGATATACCAGACATTCCGCAATTTGAATTTACATGAATCCTTTGGTGAGTTGGTTCCTTGGAATTACATCTGAAACCCCACCGTCAAGACAGATCTTGAGCAAGAGTAGATAGCGCAACGCAGTTGTTATACAGTGATTTGCCATACATTCTGCATCTTGTTGCCTTGACTTGCATCTTTGCTACGCCCCCTCAAAAGTTGGAATGTTAAAACAATCAAAAATCCCAGTCAATATACAACATGAAGGTAGGAAATCAGTCATGGTGCCTTCGTCATCGCCTTCCGGCCTTGCCAATATAGGGAATGCTCTCTCGAATATGCTTAATCAAAAACCAAAGAAATCAGTAAAGTCAGAGTCGGAAGAGATAATCTGTGCTAGGTTTGCACACTTGGATCAAAAGTATTTCGTTATTGACATAGATTACTGCTGTTACTTGGATATCAACATGGCTTTCAAATATGGCACGTTGATGCACTTGGAGATAAAGTAAATGAAATGGTATCCATCAAGAGCAACCTGTCGAAAATTATCGCAATAGATTTGCTAAAGGATCCGGAAGTAAAAGATGATAAATTTGCTTTGCAAAGACCCCTGGTAATGATGATCGAATCTTGTTTGGACGAGACGGAAACGGTGCCTCAGTATAAGGTTCACCTATTTTCGTTGGTGACATTAAGTTTTGTGAATACACTGGATTTTGGCAATGTTGAAATTGAAGTTGTTAAATCTACAAAGATCGCCATCTGTATTTCTGGTCCTGAAACACTGCAGATATACTCTCCAGCTGGTTGATGCCAATTAACGCTAGATTTTTCATTATTGAAATCATTTGATGATTTATGGCCTTCGCCGACTGCCGGGATACCCGAATTTGATCTTGCATTGCGCTCAATTTGTTATACATGTACGGCTGCGGTACAACCTCAGCAAACGCAGGACGATCAAGATATGTTTCATATGGATGATTATAAAAACAAGACTGCTGGAGAAGTAGCCGGCGAACTCGCTGTGAAAGCTGCAAAAGAACTTGTAGATGGCGTTACCCTTGTTGGTGGGATGGGATACAATGCTATTCAAAACTATTTCAATGGCGATAAAAAGGATATAATCAATGCAGAAGTGGAGCGTGTCAGTGAGCATGATGGAGTGGTGATGATTCGCAAGATTTCTAGAAATTCCAAAGACTTTCCAGTTCTTTCACTGTTTAGGCCACACAAGCATCCAATATCACAGATTAAATTCAACCCTGCAGAAACAATGATATTTACAGCTTCTTCTATAGGAACCAATATTTATTGTTGGTCAATTATGAATTGCTTTTCTCGTGTAAAGCAACCTCCAACGTGTGTGATGAAATTTGGACGAGGATTCACTTTTGCCGTCATTACTCATTTGGAAATAAGTAATGACGGCCATTGGCTGTCATGCTCCACCTCTCGAGGAACGAACCATTTATACCACATGGATAACTTGTCGAATGCTAACCAAACTTCCAGCGTAAAAGTAAATTCTAGGAACTCTCTTCAAGTTGTAAAATCGTTGTTCCAAGTAGAAAATTCACAGGAGACACTTGGATCTTCCCCTGTAAACATAAGGTTATCGTCAAGCGTCGACAACGCAACAAGTGATATGGGCTATGATGACGCTTTTGTTGATGCATATAAAAATATACCAATGACTACTTTTATCAGGCAATGCGGAAACAAAGTGAAATCCATGGATCCAACTCTGCAGAAAAGGATTCCTTTACTATCGTGGGATCCGTACGGAAAAATTACACTAATACATGTCGATATGTACGTGCAGCCAGAATTGCCAAGTAATCCTTCAGTTCCTGCTATTGTCACCAGCGCAATTACAAAGAAAATGAAAATGTCTGTCACAAAAATCTCAGAGTGGACTGTTTGTAGAAATCCAAGCTGGCAAGAATGTGGAGTAAAGGTTTAATCCCATTTAACAATAGTTCATCAAAGACGACGCAATTGCTGCAGTAAAACCAGAAGCAATCTGGCCATCGAAAATAGAAATCAATACTTGCAACTTGGCTTTACCGTATATATGGTCAAAACCGCTGTGCACTTTGCAGGTATTTGAGGAGGAACCTGAAAGGGATGAGTTGCAATTACCAATAGCGAAAAATATAGTTTTGAAAAATCCTGTTCTGGCTCCACATAGGTAAAATGCTGCTAACCTAGTATATTGGATGCGAAAATTGACATTACCGAGGGAATGCAATCAGCTATGGATTCTGAACTTCCTCCCCCACAAGGCCATGAATCATTTTACCAAACTGAAGAAGGATTTCACCTGATTGTATCTTCAAAATCCATTCCCTCTCCCCCATCTCCCTCACTGCTAACTGGATTTTTGGATTCTGCCAAACGAATTTCCACCCTGACAACAAAATGGAAAAAAGAAAAGACCAAAGTTCCAGTACAAGAAAAGCCAGAGGTTGTTGATTTAAATGGTGAAGATTCATAGTGTAAATAAATAAATAGCATGTAAATCCACTCTGCTTTCAAAAGTGCTTCTCTTTTACGCGGAAGCTCAGGCTCTCGGTGATTTAAAGCACTAAAGGACGGAAATTTCCAATGATTTTCAGCTCTGCATTCTTTGGATTGTCATCAGCACTACCACAGACAGCTGCAACGGGCCCTACTGACCCAGTATGTGCAGGATTCTTGGCGTGGGAATCATTCCCAATGAATCAAGCATGTCCAAACTTGAATTTATACTCCAGTTCACCAAACACAGCTGTATTGTGCACTCCATCGTGCAAAGCATTCCTCGTACCATTTATCCCAAAAGCTCAGTCAGCTTGCAAGAATGATGCGCCAACAGAACAAAAACTGTCGCTGCTTGGTACTGCATTAACTGCGTGTGATGCAGCAAGTACTTCTGGTTCTGCAGCCGATCCACAATGCCAAGCATATTTAGCTGCAAATGCGTTACAAGGTCAAGCAGCATGTCCAGGATTCGACCCATCTTCATCCAGCCCGGATTATAGTAAAATCTGTCAGCCAACCTGTTCGGCATTTCTAGGTCCGTTTGCAAAGAATGGGCAATCTCAGTGTCAAAACAGTCCATCAACC